CCCCAAAACCCCAAAACCCCATAAGGTTAAGATGCATAAATGATATTAAATATTGTTATATTAAAAAATCTATAATCATCTTTCTCTTCAATTTATTGATATTTTTAAGATTTTAAATTCATTTTTATGATCTTTTGCTAGCACATACGAGTTTTATTTATCAATAGAATCTGACAATTTTATTTAACAAATAGATATCAGTCCCTTATCAAGGCTAATTGACCCTTGATATCCTACTTTCAAAGCATCATTAATCTTTATTTAGTTTTGAATTTGGCTTAGAACAATTGGAAAGTTATCTATGCTGAATGAGACAGGTACTATGCATGGGCTTTCATAGGCATAATTTACAGTGGAAATTATTGCAGATTGATTCAAGTCAAACATCAGAATTTAATTAGGGCTTTAAGCTAGTATAGTGTTAGGATCAAGTTGCCTAAGATGTAAGAGTTCTCTACACCTACCAATGACTTTAGGTTTTTACTCAGCTTTTACATTTAACACTATTGGAAACTAATATATGGTTTCCCCAACTCGATAAATCAACTAATTTTCAAACTCAAATTCATTTAGAATCATAGATTAAGCCATATATTCACTACTGCCTCTGTTATTTCGATACTTCTAAACACAATTATACTGCTTTCCATCCCATTTATAGATGTTGATTTTTCCGTATTCAGTAAGTGCCACTGCTATCATATCATTTTTTAAGCTGCAAAAGCCACAAATTGGGCTATCAAACATTATTGTAGATATCTGAATCCATGAAGATAAATCGTAAACGTTTTAATCACATATGAGTCTATTTTCCCTCATAAAATTATATTAGTGATGTTCTAGTATTATCTACATCTTTGATGGCATATATTTTGTTTGATAATTCATGGATGTATGTGCTATCCCAGATGCTAAAAGGTAATTACACTGGATCTACCTGCATTTAAATCTAAACATCAATGCAGATGTTAATTTTTTAAGCTTTAAAGGTATCAATACCATCCATAAAATTTTTTAAACCTATTACTTGATTCTTCAATTCCTAAGCTTTAGGCATATTTTACTCCTCATATCTTCTTATATCTTATGTAATATTTTATGCTTCAGCTGATTATGACTTATTCATTCTGTTATTGATTTTATTCTCAAGGCCCTTTATAATATTTAGCACTATATTCTCTGAATTCTTAGTGAATTCCTTAATCTTTGGGACTATCTTGTCTATTTAGTTATTTAGTTATTGTATATCCTTGATTAAATGTATGGAATACTAAATAAGATCTGAGCTGTTATAATTCTAATGTAAGTTAGGATTAGGACTTTTAGAAATTAAGCCTTCTCCTTCATTTTTGATATCATCTTTTTTCTTAGGCTTTATAGATTTTTCTCTTGGCCTACCTCTTTATTTATTTTATGAGGGCTTGTTTGGATCTGATTGTTTCTGCTCCTATTTAACTTATTAATTAAAGATTGGAATTATTTTGTTAACTTTTGTTAGATTTTTAGATTTCGATTATATTACTGGATTATTTATCAGAGTCTGTTCTTTTTTAACTTGAATTGTTGGAGGCTTAGTCTATTCCCTTTAGTGTTCCTCTGGTGGCTGAAATTCATCAATATTCAAACTTTAAGTCATTTTCAGCCACATATTCATAGTTTCTTCAAACTCACTTTTGAGTTCCATCTAAAAGTGAATAAAATTTTACAGCCCTTATTTTCATTTCTTTATTTCCCTCAAAATTTGGAAACCCTATATATTAGATTCTCAGGAATTCCATCTTCTGGATTCACATATTTCGTCAGAATTAAAAACTCACATTAGTTTTACTGAGACAATGAGTATTGAGCTTTATGAATTGATACTTAAGAAACTACTTCTCCCATAATCTCTTCTTAGAATTTACAATTATACCCAACTTGCTTCATATCTACCATTTTCAATCTTTCATGCTAAACGGAGAATAGAATGGGAAACTCATCTAAGTCAAAGTTTTTTGTCACTATGATATTTTTACCAACTTCTAATACTTGAATATTCTAAATTATATTCAAGGTAGTGATATCTACAAGCTAAATGGAATTCTTACAGATTAAGATGATTCTGCTTGGACTTAATAGCTTAAAGTTCTAAATTCCAAAAGTTGTTTTGCAAAGCTTTCTTCGTTATGAGTACTTGATGTTTTATTGACCTAGTTAGACCTATTAAACTGATGTTTCTCCAAAAAGAGCGATTACAGAATCTTGTATTGAATAAGGATCCTTTTCGAGTTTTAATACCTTATAAAGCTTGTTTCCAGGGTAAAAGGCAAATTTAGATATCATCTCATATTCAGTTCCTATCCACAGCCACATGCTTAGTCTAGCAGACATATCATGCCCAGCTACTATCATACTTTCATTAACTCCCACAACACTAAAAATAGCATCTTCTGAATTGATGTTTTAAAGTTTTTTTAATGACTTTAAGCAATATACTTCCAAATCGCATATCAATCTATCCTAATGCACAGCTGCAAATTTGACAATTCTTTCAATTTCTATTATACTTTTCTTAACAATTGAATTATTGACTTCATCTGCCTAAAATTATACTACCTCTGAGTGATTCAAATTAGTCTTGTATAGTAGCATATTATTATCAAGTTGAGCTATTAAAGTTTGGCAAGTTTAGAATTGATTATTAATAAAAGGAACTGATTCAACATTAAACTGCATATCAATGTTAAGCTAGCTTTTCTATAATTTGATTTAATCAAGCTATGTGAGATTAGACCTAAGCAAATGAACATTTTAGACCATATTCTCCATATTATGCTTTTGATTGGCTTAATATTCTTCTACTATTTTTTGAGACTCAAATTGATTTGGTGTTTTATTGTCAAGTTTCGCCTCCAACCCTTTTATAGCATGGAGGGCTGCCTCTTCTGTTTCAGTTATAAAATCCTTAATCCTTGGTACTAGCTTTTTAAAGAGGTTATCGAGACTTTTACACTCATTAATGATCATCCCAAGCTATTTTACGAAAGGCTAACATGATAATTAGTCAATATACTTCTAGGCTTTTTCATCCTTGACCCTTAAAAGAGGCTCCTTTTGCCCTCTTTAAATTCTCTGATTCATCTAATTTTGCTGATTTCTAAGTAATGTTATTGAAGTTTTTTCCTTTTTGATATTATAGTTTATACTAGTCTGTAAGAGTGAATTTTACTACTAATTGAAATTAGGTTTACTTTCATCTAAATTTTATTTACTAAACTAAACCTGCTTTTACTGAAAATTTTGGGGTTTAAGGAATTAGGATATGGAAGGTTTATTCATTAAGATTAATTTAATTATGCTTAAAGTTCGATCATATTTAATCAATTATAAATCAATACTTTTTCACTCTTTTAAAATCTGTCTGAGACATAATTATCCTGACTTATTCTAGCACATAACTATAATCTTCTTGCTATTTGGATCTTCATTACTCATTTAGGCAATAAGTCTCATACCATCCATCCCTTCAACACTTCCCTTTAGTCCTTATTCTTACAAGTCGAAATACTGTATTTTCTTCTAGCTATCCACAAGGCAATATTCCAATCCAGTGCTATTTGAGATGCTCTGAGGCATGATCATTAGAGATGACAAGGTCTCTGTAGTTTAGAATACATTGACTTTTGTCTGATATTTAATATCATAATACACCACAAATCCTGCAGTTGATAAAAGCATTTTATCTTCGCTTATTACTCTATAGTCATAGATGTGCTTTACCCCTGAGCATATTATAGTTTGCTGAGTAAGTCCGAATTTGATCATATTTATTTGGAATAACTTGATCTAATGATCACCGCATTTGACTGTAATGCAGTCTTCTCTCAAGGGAAATGCTTTCATGAGTGTAATTGCTCCATTGGTAGGGTAGAACTATTTCTTCTTTAAAAATTGATACTTAGTGCCGGTCCATTACCAGATACTCATTTTGCTTGATTTATTATGCCCAAATATTACTTTTCCTGGCCTGATTTAAATACCCCCAACTATCTCATCGCTGAATTTGATAATATCGAGAACGCACAAACTATTCATAGAGTAAACGCTATCATCGCATAAAATTCTATCCTAATCAACTGTAATATATTAGACCTCTCTATTGACGATTAACTTTTCAGTGCATCTCACGATTGAATCGTTAACTTACTTGAGCTCAATGATTTTGGTTTGTCCTTTTTAGGAGTAGGCAAAGATGTTTATAGGCAATTCAGTTACAACTCGATTGACATCCTCGAATGATGTTTGATTGAAACTGCATAGTATTTCCTCTGATTAAATTTGAATATCAATATTGACTTCTTAATAAGTCAATTGAATCTTGTCAATACTTTCAAAATAATTCAAAAACAAAGACTGCTGAGTTTCAAAGTTATCTAATATAGGCTTTTGCTGCTAAAAAAATGACTGTACGTTATTGACAATACTAGCTTCTGATACTCGCTCTGAGCCTTCTTTTTAAGCTGATAGTTTTTATTCTAAACCTTTAACCACATTATTTGAACTTCTTTCACATTGCTTGATAAAGGTCTCAAATTTCTTTTATATCTTCTGGTTTATCTATTGAAGGTATTTCGAGGCTTTGATTATTTTTTGCACTTATAAGATAATCGTGTTTGGCTCAATTTTTACTAGATTGGGGCTTTACTTAAACTATTAATTAGCTGATTTTCTCTTTGGCTTATCATCCTCAGAATCAATATCAATACTACTGCTTCTCCTCTTGAGTCCATCAGCTGATTCGCCTTAAAGTTTGTCATTGCGCTCTGCATCTTACTTAAGCAACTATTTCAGTTGGTCCTTTTTATCAAGATCTCTAGTGAGTTAATTCCACAGACTAAGGCTTTACTAAAACTCATTTTTAATTTCATTCAATTACTCATCCTTAAACACTTAAAACACTTGCTATGGGGGTTTTGGGGTTTTGGGG